GGAGTTAATAGATCTCCAGTCATTTCTGAATTGAAATATATGTTTGAGGCTTATGACAAAATTCAGTTTTATAAAAAAAATACGTCTGTAATGAAAAATCCCTAACCTAAAAAAACTGGCGATTAGCATTACAGCTGCAATAGGAACCACCTAACTTTGTGAATCTTCTTCGTCAAAAGTGAAGATTGTTCAATTTAAAAGTTATAGATTAACCGACTAAAATTTAAAAAACCAACTACGTTCTACAACGTCGATAATAGTTGTTGATATTTAAACAGTAAGTTTCACATCAAAATACATACAAAATACTGTAAATTGTAAATGTTTTGTTGTAAAAAAATATGTTCGGTTCACAGTGTATTTTTATTTTTGGTGTTGGTCCAGTAAACAATTTCGGTTCGACACCACTGATGTAGACAAGCAAAAACAGTTGGAAACGCTTGCACATCTCTAACATTTTATTAAGAAAGCTGCTTTCACTCAAACATTTCATGCCAATGAATGTGAACAAATGTGAAAGATTGAGACCGGAAGTGCCGCCATTGGGTTCTACAAGTAAAATTTTACCAGTTTTTGATTATATAATCTAAAGTCCTGTATTATTTCCCTTCCAGGTTTGAGTCAAANTATTTTATATATATATATTGGTTCTGTGTGTTTGTCTATCAAATAATTCTTAGTCACCAGACAAGATGCTCTTTGCGTCCACACATTATATATGTGTGAATGTGACAGTATGAATGTGAATATGAACGTGCATTAGAAATAATCTACATTAGCAAGTACTGTTGTATTGCAATTTCCGTTTATTCTATTTATCAGGTTTTATGGACCCTTCCTTCTACATTGTAAGCAATATACATTAAAAATCCTGAAAGGCAACAACAAAATTAGAATAAAAAAGTTATCAGTTAAATGTGATTAATTTCACATTTCGAGGAAAACACGATGGTTATTTAATTACACACACGTATTTGTAAAATCTAAGTGACTCGTACAACATGGAATTCATATAAAACGGAAAAATCAACAGTGTTATAGGGGGGTCGACTGTATTGTTTAAGTGACAGTGGTTAACTTAATCAAGTCATGTGAACAAAAATTCATCGTTGACAAGAGACAAGAAATAATTAAAATAACTAATTAAGTTATTACTCATTACGTTAATCTGTTAATCTGGAATAAACCCATTATTTTTCTATAATCTGGAATAAACCACAAAGTTAATCTGGAATAAACCCATAATTTTTCTAAAAAAGCCGTGTTATTTCTAAAAAGAATTAACAAAAAAGAACGACAAAAAACAACTCCCGAGAAAACTGAGTCAACGCAAGGAAGAGAAAAAAGAATGAAAGTAAAACAAAAGATGGAAGAGCAAAAAAAGTGGAAGTAACAAAAGAGAAGACGGAAACACCAACTCTTTTCTTAGTACAGTGTTTTTCAACCTGAGGGTTGCTACCCCAAGGTGGGTCGCAAAGCCATACACGGGGGGGTCGCAGGTAAAAGAAAAAGACAAGTGTTTGTAGGTCCTACACTACAATAAAAAAACTACAATTTTAGTAAGAAGGCTGTGCCTGTTTATTTTACGGTACAATTAGTTTTTTGATCGTTATTTAAATCTCAACAGAAAGAAAATTAAATACGTAGTTTTTAAAAATCACTGACATAGTTTTAATATGGCCATGGGGGGTATCCAGAATTTTTTAACTTGTAAAAAGGTCGCGTATTCAAGAAGGTTGAAAAACACTGTCTTAGTAGGTTGTGAGTCGCGATTTTCAGATTATCTATCCTCCATGATAATACACTTCCTAGGTTTAAAAGAATATAAATAGGATAAGTGCCGAGGATTAGCTTGGTTTTTTCAAATGTAAATATAATATCGTGTTTTGTTTTTGCAATAAATTATTCTTTGTTATTTCTACGTTTCTGTAGTTTATTACTTTTCTGATCCTGTTACACATAACAGAAAAAAATGTGGTAATCGGTCAAAAAACGGCCCCCAGAATGTTTTATTTTTGGACTCAGTGAACTTTGAAACTTCGAAAATGCAAAAATTTAGAGGGTTTATTCTGTATGTATGAATGATAGTGTGCGCATTTGTCTTTCGCACGATTTTGTTTACCTTTTTTTGAGACTTAATAACGTGCTTTTTGTCGAAAATTTCTAAATTTTGCATGTATTAGGGAATTGATACTTTTAAATTTTGGTTATTAAAGGTCGGGTTAGAGCTATAGAGAGAATCATATATTAAGTAGGAGTGCATGACAATTTTACTCGTTATTACCATTTACAATTTTTATAAAGCCCATTCCTACCCTCAAAATTAAGATTTCGTTATTTTATTATTATAAATATAAAAAAGATTTTAGTAACATATACTAGATGGCGACACACACAGTATTATATTATAATATAAAACTATGTGTGTCGACACACATAGTATTATATTCGATCTGTAAAAACATATCTAATATACAATATTAGATATTTAAAACTCTCGTAAATTTGAAAATGCATTTTCGTCGTCGTTTGTTTGTTTTTATTAAGTTATTGCAGCGGTTCTTAACCTGGGGTGCGAGAGAGCATTTCCAGGGGTGCGAGAGAAATTTCAAAAATTAAAAAAATAATAATAATACGAATGAGGCGACCGTGTTCTCTACAAATCATGGTACCCAGCAACATGGCACCTCCACTTCTTCGTTCTCTACCGTGTCACTTCTACACTCTCAACCGTCTCTCAGCACACAGCGTTTGTCATCAGTCTTCAGTACATGCAGTGAATGTAGTCACATTGTCACGTGCAGTACAGAAACTAGTTAAGATGCGCTTGAATACAGCACTTTTGCACATCAAAACAAAAGCCAGAAANATTTGCATGTAAGTCTTATTCGTGACCAATTTCGACGATATGCACAATAACGTTGAAAAATTTGAAAAGAAATCTCTAAATGCAAAATACAGTGAATTAAATTATCTAGATGATTTTCTATTCGGATACTGTTTACTCAAACTTTGTTTTCTTTGTGTTTGGTTAGCACAATGTTGCTGTTGAAAACATATCATACAGGAACACTTTGTTTTCTTTCTTCAAATTGCTGAAAGAAGTGGTTTTAAAATTTTCAATCAGCTTCTTTATCACGCAAATCGCATCCGTGACTACTTGAAATAGCACGCGAAACACAGGCGAAAGTTAAAAACGAAATTGTTTATATCCCTTGCTATTCAATAATTTCAGTGAATTAAATTACACAAACGATTAAGAAACAGTTTAGTGAAAATTGTTTTCTGTCAATTTATTGTTCAAATTTAATATTAAATATTAATTAGTTTGAAAAAGAAGTAAAACTGTTATGATTCGTATTTTTACAAGTAAATTAACCTTAATAAAAAATTGCTTCAAAAAGAATGTCTTTTGAATTGATAAAAATTCAAGAAGATTCTTAAAAAAGACAATACAAAAAATATGTCTCATTACATAGCAGACAATATCTTGCATAGTACTTTAGCATCTTTAGTGGAAAGATGCAGTTTCAGTATAGATGTTATCACTTTTTTAAAGTGTAAAAGTCATGAAAAGTCACACTTGCAAAATCATCTGTGCAAAACACTCATTCACAGAAATCATTTGCTTTCTGAAGAGAAAATACATTATTATTTTTTATGTAAATTATAATATACTACCCTGATCAAAATTACAGAAATTCCGTATTTAAACTGCGCGCATACGAGCTGCCGCTCCCTGGCTTTTTCGAGGCTTCCTACGACTTTTATTGACATGCAGCAGCAGTCAGTACGCCATCGTTTGTTTTCGTTGGCAAAATCGATATTTGTTTTGTATGGAAACAGTGTTGAGCTTGCGATTCATCGAAATGTCACGTGAATAAACGTGGATCAACGATTTTACTCGGAAACAGATTGACAATCGAGTGAATCGCTCTCGAAAAGTGAAACCAAGCTGAAAAGACATATCAAAGTCCGTCAAAAACGAACTGCTTTCTTGACCATTTTCTTTGATTGTCGAGAGAAGTAAGTGAAATCACTTTTTTGTAACCGATCATGGCAAGCAATTTAAAAGTCTTGAAATAGTCGATTTTTTCTAATAGAAATTCAAAAAAGGTTTAGAACTGAAATCTGTGAGCCAATAAAAAGCATAATTTTTATTTCCAAACATAAAATGGGAAGGAAATGCTGTTAAGAATCGTTTAATGCAGTTCTTGTCTTTCGAGGAACCATATCAACCAATGCCAAATTATCTTTCTATTTATTTAGACCGAATTTATTATCACCATTTTGTATACTTTTCACCGTATTAAACATTTTCCCGAATTAGCATAACATTTTTGAAGCTTCTGCACAAAATCACAAATGAAATTCGGTACGTTATTCTTCAGTTAAGTACTTATCTTCTCTTTATCTTTTATAAGGTTTGGTTTCGTGTATTTGATTTCAGCAACGCGACAAGTGAGCGATCTGCCAGAGAGGATGCTTTCCGGGAAGACTTTATATCAGAAACTCGCCCCTATTTAAGTGTTACAAACGTGAAGAAAACCAAGAAATCCCCACGTTGCCAGCCAAATGACTAGGCAAAAATGACAACTGTTCAGTGGTTTTATCCACTCGCTGTTGTGGGAAAGGAATAATAGTACACATTTTAGAGTTTATTTTTATAAGTATTTTCTTAAGGCATCATTAATCGTAAATATTTCAAGCATACATATCGTGCATATTTCAAATATCTTGTGTCTTTCTAATGCCCTTTGTGCAGTATTTTCTTAATGCGTTCTACAAAACATTGAGTATGGATAAAGGTTTCATGACGTCGTTGAAAATAATGGCTTTTGATAATTTATAAGTTCATCTATCAATTTATTTAAAAAGTTCGTGAGTTTCTCGTATACACATCACTATTGTTTTAAACTGAAAATGTCGTGTTTCTTATAAACTAAGAAAAAATATATTCACAACCATCATTTAATCTTATACATAGAGATATTCGCTTATTTATTTTTACATAGAATTTTTATCTTAATTTTTAAGGAAATTGTATTATTTCGTGATAATTGTATAGTAGAGATGCAAAAATAATTAGTAACTTAATTAAAATTACAATATGTGTATTTATAGAGTGATGAAAACGTTTCATTTCGTAAATTCATCTACTTTAGGGCATGGGTGCATGACGAATTCTTTTTATAATCTTCGCAATGAGAAGCTCCGAAAGGAAGGAAGTAAAAGACAATATATATCCAATGATTAGTAAAATGAAAGCACCACCGACTTCATTTAATTTTAACGGCTTGATTTCCCGAGATGTAATTTCTTTTCCAATATTATATTCATTTCCGTATCTTTTCTGGGTAATTCCAGCTGCAATCCAATTCGATAATCTATATACAACATGAAATATATGCAACATTAAAAATATATATACAAATAATAATTAATTTAATTATTAAAATTACAAAATGATTCTTACATTTCGTTTACTTCTCTTCTATAATAAAACCCTTTTCTCATTGAATATGCACAATTAAAACTTAGAAGTGCGTCATCAGAGATAAAGACATTTCTTCTTAACTTATTTTTTAATGGTATTAAATAAAAGTCAGAAGATATAATGGCAAATTTACGATTACGTACACGTTCAATAACATCTGGTTCTTCGGTTAACTCGAAGTAATTATTATTTAATGTCATATGTTCTTTTAATATCAATAAGTCTTCGGTCTTTGCCGTCTGAAAAATAAATTTTTATTAATAGTGATTTCTAAAATATTTTACGTGAATGAGTTTTATATGATATTAGGTAATAATCCTATGCTGTTACATGCAACGTAGTATGTTAAAAAACATTATAAGTTAAAATAAATATACGAACTTCGAAACAAACATAAGTATATTAACTGAATAAACATGAAGAAATTTTTACAGGGATTGAAATGAATGGCAGAAAAGTTTTTTTTTCATTATCATAAAATAAAGCTATATTGATATGAACTGTACAGGGAAATACGTAAGTCACACCATAAAGTTATTCTCATGGATTTCATAGGTGTCCAAATAAACTTCTCAGCTACTATACATGCGAATATTCTGGCGTAATAGGATGATTCCACTCGTCTGAATGACTCGGGTTAATATTGTCACATTCTCTGTTTATCACATTCTTCAAATCGGCGAGTGTACAGACCGATTCTGGTACATAATAAATTTTAAATACAGGAAAACAATCAACTTAAAAAAAGCACATAAATATAGTTATTACATTAACTCGTATGGTGCACGACTTACGGACTTCCCTGTGGATTCGTATAAATATGTAATTCTTAGTTTCATTGATGAAAAATGATTTTGTTCACATTTCAACACTTCAAATCGTCAAATATAGATAATTCAATATTAGTTTACTCCTCCCAACTTCATTCTTATGTTATGATACAAAATATTATGATATTTAAATTCAAGTTTTACAAATCTGTACACTACTTTTTTGCAACATTGAGTTTTAAATGATAAGCAGAGAAGTCTGTCTTTGATATAACGTCTACAATTTTTTTTATTAAAATTAAAATTGCCTTTCTTTATCCTAATAATGTTAAATCATCGCTTGCGAAAATTAAAACTTGTCGAGATATCTTTCGTACATTAAAAAAATGTATGAATTTAATTGGGCTGAAAATTCAAAATCCTGTAGAACAATAAATTCCCACTGTTGTCCGTTCATTTGTCCGTCTGATTGTCTTTCCTATATCTCGAGAACAGACGAATAGATGAACGATCTGAAAGGACTTGTTAAACATAGAAACAGCAGACCCCGACTAACTGTATATCAACTTCCAACGCAGAAAGAAAAAAAAACACGTTATTAATTCAAATGTTCAACGAGTTACATAGATGACCGGCACAACTCTATAAGCAGACATAGTATGTTGTAAAGGGGCAAGACTATTAATTCGATGTGGCAAGCATATATTTTATTTTAAATAAATTTTTAAAATATCATTAAAAATTGCAGCCCGGCATTGTGGTGATGTCACAACAAATAATTGATCGTATTTAGTTGAAATTTTTGTAAAAGTTTTAAAATGGTATTTTGAAAAAAAGCACTTGTAACATTTTCTGGCGGTGGAGTAAACATAAAGCTTGTGTTAATTGATTTCGAGAACAGTTCTCGATTAAATAGAGGATGTATTATTGCGCGAAAAGTAAAGAACGAAAATAGACGTGAAATTTGTTATGTGTGACGAAATACTAAAACAATTGCAAAGTTTGCCAAAAAATTTTAAGAATCTAAAAAATGAGTTTTCGAAATGCAGTAGTACCTCAGAATACAAAATTAATCCGTTCCGAAACAGAGTATCATGAAAATGTCGTAAAACCAAATAATCCGTTCCAACACGAAAAACACACTCAAATTAAAGCTAAGTAGTACTTTAAAAAAATAACTATAGTAAGGAAAACACTGAAAAATGCGTTTTGTAGTTGTAAATGTATAAATAACCATAATAGAATAATAGTTGATAAAAAAAATGTAGTTTTACTTTCACTTTACCTTTGAGGATAGACCACGGTGGAGGTGTAAACTGGTGGCGGAAGAGAGGGAGAAGGGAAATGATACTAAAACTTAACTTACATAACATAACACTAATTTTTTAAGTTATTTTTAACTTTTCTGTTTTATATATATATATTATTCAATGCTTTTTGCTTTCTTTCCTTCACTTCCACCAGCACTTTCACTGGATAGAGGTCGCTTGGTAAAATATCTATCCAAAGAGATTTCGCTTTGCCTACTTTTTAAAATGTTTCTAAAATGACTTAGGCAAATATCATTACTGTGAGCAGCAATACGNACACTACAGAAGGCCCCTATATTGAATACATGCCATATTGTTAGGAAATTCCTTAATACAGGCACTGACACTGACACACTTATTTAATTTTAGTTTTTGGTTGCTATGCCTTGACTCTGGTCCGGCATAGTACACTGCCACCGGTGTGTACAGAGTTAACCCACTAAACCCAACATAATAATAATAATAATAAGCGCAGAGCCCAAACGGTTAAGAGTTGAAAGTTAAAATTTGGTACATAGGGTACGTCACGAGAACGCACACTAAGAAGAAATTTTTCGAAATTCCTCCCCACGGGGGAGAGAGACAGGATTAAGTCTTAACAGTTCCATCAACAATGGAAGTGTTAAGTAACAATGGAAGTGTCAACAATTGACGTGTCAACAATGGAAGTGTTACGTAACAATGGAATTGTTAAGATAAAGCGACGTGCAATACGCGGATGCAGTTTTTTTTTCGTTTTTGTGGGAAATCGAACATATTTTTAGACACGTCTAAAAATTCTCTAATTAGTCTGGAAACATTGGGGACCCAATTCTTGCATTCTGTGAAAACGGATAAGGTTGACTATAACGTAATAATCTTAATCATTGCTATCGTTACTTTTTCCCGAGCAACGCTGGGCCTACCTGTTAGTATATATATATTTATTGATACAATACGTATTTATAAATAATTGATTTCATGTTTGAAAACATCAACTTTGCAACACGAAAACTAGTTCTCTGCTTGAAAATTTTACGTGTTGCATCTACGAAATCGAATCCTCCAGGAAAATGGTCGACACATTTGGCTTTGTTATGGTATCATTAGGAATTCTGTATTATTAAATAATGAAAACTAATAGTTGAGATAATTAATATTTATTAGAAATACAGTACTTCACAGATAATTTACTATTTTAAATATTAGTTTTATCGCTGGAAGATGGAAGTAATCCACTGTTTGTGCTTCGATTCTAGTCATGAAACTATAGATAATTTATATAAGTAGAACTTCATTCTGGTAATTTTCTCACGAATAATTTGCTTGGAATTTAAGTATAAACGTGTTTTTTAAATGGCAAATGGCGTGATTTTTTACGTTTATCGAAAAGTATTATAAACACGCGTATCGAACTGAACATATAATAAACGTCACGACTTCGTTTACCATCAACTTCTTTCTTCATTTCCGTGTTAAAGAACAAATCTCTACAGAATTTTTCTCTCTACGCTTAACAAAATTAACAAAATAGAAAGAGACAGGATTAGGGCTTAACACTTCTATCAACAATGGAAGTGTTACATAATAATGGAATTGTTAAGATAAAGCGACGTGCAAGACGCGGAAGAAGTTTTTTTCGTTTTTCCGAAAATCCATCATATTTTTAGACCCATCTAAAAATTTAATTAGTCCGGAAACATGGGACCCAATTCTTGCATTCTGTGAAAACGTGTAAGGTTGACTATAACACAATAGTCTTAATCTTTGCTATCGTTACTTTTGCCCGAGCAACGCCGGGCCTACCTGCTAGTTGTTAATATTCGATACTTTCTCTTCGGGTTGTTTTCTTTTCGTTCTAAGACTGAAAATTANATAAGTAGAACTTCATTCTGGTAATTTTCTCACGAATAATTTGCTTGGAATTTAAGTATAAACGTGTTTTTTAAATGGCAAATGGCGTGATTTTTTACGTTTATCGAAAAGTATTATAAACACGCGTATCGAACTGAACATATAATAAACGTCACGACTTCGTTTACCATCAACTTCTTTCTTCATTTCCGTGTTAAAGAACAAATCTCTACAGAATTTTTCTCTCTACGCTTAACAAAATTAACAAAATAGAAAGAGACAGGATTAGGGCTTAACACTTCTATCAACAATGGAAGTGTTACATAATAATGGAATTGTTAAGATAAAGCGACGTGCAAGACGCGGAAGAAGTTTTTTTCGTTTTTCCGAAAATCCATCATATTTTTAGACCCATCTAAAAATTTAATTAGTCCGGAAACATGGACCCAATTCTTGCATTCTGTGAAAACGTGTAAGGTTGACTATAACACAATAGTCTTAATCTTTGCTATCGTTACTTTTGCCCGAGCAACGCCGGGCCTACCTGCTAGTTGTTAATATTCGATACTTTCTCTTCGGGTTGTTTTCTTTTCGTTCTAAGACTGAAAATTAGGCTTACCCGATCGAGTTTTTGGATGTTTTCTCAATTCCTCGATCTCACACATATTATATTTCATAATTATGTAAAAATTTCAGCAAATCATACTATTAATATTTTGGTAAACTTGTTTCTCGTGTGCATTATGGTAGACTAAAAAACATTTAGAAATGTTCTCGGTGTAGATGGCAGTAACTGTTTTTGAAAAAAATCGATGTTGCGGGACAAATGTTTCAATGCCACTGTAAGGCAAAAATTGTTCACAGATGAGGATTTTGCACTTTGTGCATTAACAAATATGCATGTTGTTAAATTAAAGAAGCACAAATATCTGCAGCAGCAAATAGAGAGATCAATAAAGAAGACCCATCATCTAGAAGAATAGATGTAGTTCCATCTACTTCTAAACTCAACGATTTTTCTCAGTCTTTTCTCCAAAAATATGAGCACTTCCAAAAAGAAGGTTTTGCAACAAAGACAGAAGAAAGGCAGAAAAATCATAAATAATAAAAAGTTGGCCATTTAAAATAATTTACAGTCAAAAGAAAAAGATATGAAGAGAAAGATATTAAAGAAGACAGAAAAAACAAAACCGAGAAAAGTTACTCATAAATCACTTTACACGAATAACTTCATTCCTGATCCGAAAGAAGACAGTTTAGACCAGGGATGTTCAACCTTTTTGTTTCTATGGGCCACATTGCAAGATGTCATGGAGTATTAGGCCACAAGTATATTATATATACTTATGGCCTAATCCTTAAATATACTTGTATGTTTTAGGATTAACTTGTCTAGATTATAGTAATAAGTATTAAATCTTTATCGGGAAAAAGGATATTTTAAAAAATTACTTCTACAGACACTTTCAATTTTTAATTAGAAATATATAAATTCATTTATTAACAGGAGACAAACAAAAATTTATTTGAAAAACACAAATNCCACTTCTTCGTTCTCTACCGTGTCACTTCTACACTCTCAACCGTCTCTCAGCACACAGCGTTTGTCATCAGTCTTCAGTACATGCAGTGAATGTAGTCACATTGTCACGTGCAGTACAGAAACTAGTTAAGATGCGCTTGAATACAGCACTTTTGCACATCAAAACAAAAGCCAGAAATCGCTTAAATGCATCTGATGATTTACGCGTGGTTCTTTCAAAAAACAGCCTCATTTTAGTGGAATTATTATGAATAAACAACAACAACTTAGCCATTAAAATTTAAATATTGCTTTTTATGTTACAGAGTAATATATATTGTGAATAAATACGGCATTTGTTTATGCAATAAATGTTTTTTCTTAAATAAAAAATATACAGTACATACATTTTTAAGGGGGTGCAAGAGCTTTTTTCAGATTCAACGGGGTGCTGACCACTAAAAAGGTTAAGAACCGCTAAGTTATTGCAACGGAACACTTGGGCGATCTGCCTAGAGGAGTTTCCCTGTAACAGCTCTAATTAAAGGTAACTGGCCAGTATTCTGGCATTACAGACGTAGAGAAAACCCGGAAAACTGCACGTGGCCAGCCAATTTTAACGATGGACAAACGCACGACCGAACTCCCAGTGTTCAGGGAACGGAACCGCTTGGCCACTGGTGGGCCATCGTCAACGTTCTATCGGCTTTATTGTTATTACCATTATAAACGTTCTGGCAGCAACATTTGACAATACTCCACATTCGTATTCTCCACTTCTGACAGCAGACGCCAGTTCGTGAAATGTCTTCGGAATCCATGGTTTTTCGGACGCAGTCAGAAAAGATACCAAACAACTGCTGAAACTGGACAATAAAACGAAAGCGGCTAATAACCAGCTTCCCACTGTTAATCTGTGAGGAAAATGTCGAACTTTATTCAAGGTGGCACTTTCTGCAACAAAATAAAGTAAAACATTTACCTTTTAAAATTCGATTTTTAATATTTTAAAGTAAAATAATTTTACCTTGATTACTCAATGTTGAAAACAGACACCAAATTATATTCCGAAACGAAAATTGGCAGTGCTTCCCAGTTTTTTTGTAGCGTACTTTTATCATAACAAACAAGGCAAATGCAGAAATTAATAGAGATGTGAACATCAGAAGCCATACCTTTAAAGTAATTAGTCCTATGAACATAAGTATTTATTCTAGATGAATAAACTATTGTTAATTATAAACAATATTTATATACCTGAAAAGAAAAGGGCCGAAATATAGCATGCCAGGTAAACGTTGTTTCTGGAATTATTAAGAGAAAGTATACAGGTGACGTTGTAATTGTAGTAGAAAAATCTACCACTTGTATACGATCATAGGTAAGAAAGATCGGTACGGGAAAAATGTCTGCTTCCTATAAAGAATAGTTTGTATTGTTTGAAAAGAAAATTTAAAATAAATGAGAGTACATAGATACTCGAATAAAACATTTTAATCTGTGCTATTCGCGATTAATAGGTTTAAAGACTTTGCCAAGCAGAAATTTGCATAAAACAGGATATCATAAATTCTCAAAATAACATTTATTCCACATTTTCATGCAAATAAAACAAATGCGTTATTAATTAAACAATGAGTAGCATAATAATGTAACAATCAAAATAACTTTAAATTTTTCAATAATGTAGGAGAGACCGGGGCAAAATCGGCATGTTAAGCTTTACTTAAATTTTGTGTAATAAATACTGCTGTAAACTGAAAAAAAAGCTTTGCATATTGTCTATTGGAATGTTACCTTACTATAGAACTGGTTAAAATCAGTTTGGAAATAAAAATAATTAAAATAATTACAACTTTACAAGAAGAGAGAAATTGACGAAGTTGCCCCGGGTATAGGGGCAAGATCGGCAACTTCTCTCTTTTTGTAAAGTTGTAATTATTTTAATTATTTTTATTAAAGTTGCCCCTGGTATAGGGGCAACAGTAATGGGGCAAGATAGGCACGTATATAAAATTATGTTATTAACAATGTATAAGTTGGAATTCACTATTAAAACAAAGAAATAC